CCTGTCCTGGAGCCCGGGGTCGGGGATCCGCGGAGGGGCAGCAGGGGGCCCGCAGTCTGCGGGTGTCTTCAGAGCAGTGCGCTCCGCGGCTGAGAGCCTGCTGCCGGCTCCCTTCTCCCGCGCTCTACCTCTCTCTTCTTCCCTCGCACCTCCCGCCCTCTTTTTCCCCTTTTCCTCTCCCTCGATGTCTCTTCTCTCTGCCAGTTTGCCATCTCTGCCCCTTCCCTGTCTCCCCAACCCTTCTCTCTCCCTCTTGACCTGTCTTTCCCCATCTCCACTTCCTCTTTGCCTTTTTCTTCCTCTACCTTCGTCTCTCCTTTCCTGTCTCTCTCCTCTCTTTTCCCGCTCTCCTTTCCTTCCCCTATTCCTTCCCGCTCCTCTCCCCTTCCCACTATCCTGTTTTCCACTCTATTCCTTCCTTCCCTCCTCGTCCCGCCTCCCTCTCTGGTCCCCGGCTTCCCTCCTGGCTTTCCTCTTCCCTCTGGAGGGGAAGGATTATCAGGTGTGTGTCTGCTCCCAGGGAGGATGGAGGCAGCCACAGCTACCTGCGGGTCCCCCCCCACCCCTAGGACAGAGGGAGGAGATGGCTGTGGGAGGGGTCCTCACTCTAGCTCCCACCCGAAGCCCCTCCTAGCCACCCCCTCTCCCAGAAGGAAGTTCAGGCGGCCTGGTCTGACCCCTGCAGCTGAGGCTGACCTGCCTGCCCGCCCGTCACACACGCCAAGCCCCTCTGCCCCTTCCCTTCCATTCCCCAGACCAGTACCTATGACTCTTGTCTGCCTTTCAGACACCAGGCAGCCTCCTTTGATCTCTCCTTCAGTCTCACTGCCATTCTGTCTCTGTCTCTGCTGGACAGTCCAGTCTTGGTCTCACCCCCCATCACGCTGTGTCTCTTCCTCCTCCCTAGTCTACTGGCTCTGCCCCCAACTCTACCCCCTCTTCCCTCAGCTCTGGCCCCCCACTCTGCCTCATGAGCCCAGGTCCCTTTCAAGGACTTCAGCTGGCAGTGTGGGCCGGGGGCAGGTTCCTGCGGGGGGGAGGGACTTGCAAGGGCTCTCAAGCCTGTTTCAGGCTGCACTCCTTGTGATTTCAACCTGACCCTACACAACTCCACGCATCCCAACCCCCGGGTTGTAAGCCTTTCCCGGGTGGCACCCATCTCCTCCAGCCCCTGCTGCATGTGCAACATGGGCTTTCATGCCCTCCCAGCACCCCCTCGCCTGTTTTCTTCCCCAGCTTCTCTATTCAGAATTGACTGGCTGGAGATTTATCAGCTTGGAGGGCTGGAGGTGAATACAGGCAGAGCCGGGTGGAAGGGAGGACCAGACTGTCTGCTCTCTGTCTTCGTCTGGGTTCTGGGCAGGGGGAGTCTGGTTCCGTAGAGCGTCTACCTCTGGTTTAGGGAGGGTTAAGTGTTTCCTTGACCCTGAACGGCTACCTGTCCTGCAGGTGTGGATCCATGGGATAGCCCCAGCATGTGCCCCTCTGCCCCAGTCAGCTCATGCCTCAGCACCTGGGGACAGTGAACAGAGCCCTGGCTAGAGCCCAAACATGTGGGGCCTGGTGAGGCTCCTGCTGGCCTGGCTGGGTGGTTGGGGCTGCATGGGGCGCCTGGCAGCCCCCGCCCGGGCCTGGGAAGGGGCCCGGAGGGGCCCAGGACCAGCACTGCTGCGGACCCGAAGGAGCTGGGTGTGGAACCAGTTCTTTGTCATCGAGGAATATGCCGGTCCAGAGCCCGTCCTCATTGGCAAGGTAAGGATCAAGCCCTCCTGTGGTTACCTTGACTCTCAAGCCCTGCCCTGTCACTTCATCATTTCTGCAATGACCTTGGTCCCTCAGGACTCCTAACACTCCACTCAGTCCTAGACTTAGACTCTTTAACCTGCTGTTCCTGTGTGTGGAACCTGCTGCCATTTTCCTCCGACCCTTACAGCTGCACTCGGATGTGGATCGGGGTGAGGGCCGCACCAAGTACCTGCTGACCGGGGAGGGGGCAGGCACCGTGTTTGTGATTGACGAGGCCACAGGCAATATCCATGTCACCAAGAGCCTGGACCGGGAGGAGAAGGCACAGTATGTGCTGCTGGCCCAAGCCGTGGACCGAGCCTCCAACCGTCCCCTGGAGCCCCCATCAGAGTTCATCATCAAGGTGCAAGACATCAACGACAATCCCCCCATCTTCCCCCTCGGGCCCTACCACGCCACAGTTCCCGAGATGTCCAACGTCGGTGAGTACCCCAAGTCTAAACACGCAGATCCCACCTCCTCTTCTCTCCTTCCCCTTGCTTTCTGCCCCAAAACCGAATCCTTCGATTCAGGCCTGCTCATGTCTGGGTTCCCCTCATCTACTATTCTCCCCCTCCTGGCCCTGCCCCTGCTGAGTGGGGTGCCGGGATCCCCCACAGGGACATCAGTCATCCAGGTGACTGCTCACGACGCCGATGACCCCAGCTATGGGAACAGCGCCAAGCTGGTGTACACTGTGCTGGATGGACTGCCTTTCTTCTCCGTGGACCCCCAGACTGGTGAGGACAGGGGTCGGGAGTGGTGGGGCAGCCATGGGAGAGGCACCCCTTGACCCAGTGTCTCTCCCTAGGAGTCGTGCGTACCGCCATCCCCAACATGGACCGAGAGACACAGGAGGAGTTCTTGGTGGTGATTCAGGCCAAGGACATGGGCGGCCACATGGGGGGGCTGTCGGGCAGTACTACGGTGACGGTCACCCTCAGCGATGTCAACGACAATCCCCCCAAGTTCCCTCAGAGTAAGGGGCCAGTGCTGCCACCTGAGCCATCCTTTGACCACCCACCCCACTCCTCCCCCAGCCAGGCTCCGGAAGAAGGAAGTGCTGGGGGAGGGAGGAGGGTTGGGGACCTCTCTGAGAATGTCTCCCCTCCATCCACCCTCAAGGCCTGTACCAGTTCTCGGTGGTGGAGACAGCTGGGCCAGGCACCCTGGTGGGCCGGCTTCGGGCCCAGGACCCAGACCTGGGGGACAACGCCCTCATGGCATACAGCATCCTAGATGGGGAGGGGTCCGAGGCCTTCAGCATCAGCACAGACGCCCAAGGTCGAGATGGGCTCCTCACTGTCCGAAAGGTTAGCCTCTTGTCCGCTAACACTTGCGAGACTCACTCATACCCACCTCCTGCCCCCGGGACACACTTCTCGCTGGGCTAGAACAGACCCAGGAAGCTATGTTAGAGCTCAGAAATCATAGCCATCCCCTCATCTGTCAGATGAGGGCCTGGGGCTCAAGACTTCATATATCAGAGTCTGTGATAGAGCTGGGGGTAGACCTAGAGTTACTCACGAAGTCGTCTGCCCCCACCCTTGACCACCAAGGCCACTGGCCCTCTCTGAGGTGGGCTGAGCACTGGGTGCTTCTGGGGAAAGGACTCCTCACCCTCCGGGAGCCTGGGCCTGCCCTGGTTTCTACATGTCCCAGTCACTCCACCTCCCCTGCCATAGTCCCTAGACTTTGAGACCCGTCACTCCTACTCCTTTCGTGTGGAGGCCACCAACACGCTCATTGACCCAGCCTACCTGCGGCGAGGGCCCTTCAAGGATGTGGCCTCAGTGCGCATAGTGGTGCAGGACGCCCCAGAGCCGCCCGCCTTCACCCAGGCAGCCTACCACCTGGTGGTGCCCGAGAACAAGGCTCCTGGGACCCTGGTGGGCCAGGTCTCAGCCACTGACCTGGACTCCCCCGCCAGCCTGATCAGGTGAGTGGAGGGTGTCAGGGCAGGGCCAGGCCTGGGGGAAGGTGCCCAGGGCCGGTCTAGTCCCTTGGAGGGTGTGTTTCACTTGCCTCCTGGTAGAGGTCTCCCTCCCTGGGGGCCTGGGGCCAGGGGAGGGCCGGAGGACCTGGCTCAACACTCCCGACTCTCCACCCATCCCTCTGGGTGGATGAGAGAGGTGCCTCCTAGTGGCAGTGCAAGCAGATGTGATGTCCCCGGCCGAGTGTGCTTGATCCTGGTCGCTCTCACTGGGGTCTCCCTCAGCCTGTCACACTGACATTTAATTCTCACAACTGCCCTATGAAGGAGCGTCTCCGTCACCAGTCTTGCGAGGCTAGGCCCTGTGAGGGTTAGTAACTTGCCCAAGGTCACCTGGTCAGTGAGTGGCAGAGCTGGGCATCAAACCTGGGCTGTGCCCGGAGAAGAACCCCTCTTCCCACCTCCCAGCACTGAGGGAGGAGCTGGTCTCATTCCCATTTTGCAGTTGAGGAGACAGAGGTTAAACCATTTGCCCAAGGTCCCACAGTGGGTCTGGGGCAGAGCAGAGCTAGAACACAGATCCGGGGGTCCCCAGAACAGAGCCCAGAGTCTGAAAGACAGGCAGTGTCTCCCCATTTCTACCTCTTTCTGTCTCTCTCCCCGACCCCTAGGAAACCCAGTCCCCCTGAGTTTCATGACAGGTATTTAATGTTGATGACTTCCCAGGGACATTGTCTTTTAAGGGGACCCACTGTGAGTGACGGTTGTGGGTGCATGGGGCAGGAGGCCAGTAAGGGGGACAGAAGGGGGGGGCAGCAAGCTGTGGCCCTGCCCCCAGATCAGCCCCAGTTCTACTCTGTCTTCACCAGATACTCCATCCTCCCCCACTCGGATGTGGAGCGCTGCTTCTCCATCGAGCCTGAGGACGGCACCATCCGCACAGCTGTGCCCCTGGACCGCGAGGCTCGAGTCTGGCACAACCTCACAGTGCTGGCCACAGAGCTTGGTGAGGAGTCCTGGGCCCCCAGGAGGCCTGGAGAAGGCAGCAGCCTCCTGGCAGGGGACTGTCCCTGAGCGTGGGCGCAGGGGGAGGAAGGGTACTGCATCGGCCCCTCCCCCGTGTCCTGGGTCCCCAGTCTGGATCACCACCATCAGGCAGGCCTGCTCTCCTAGGCTGGTGGGTCTGCTAGAGCATTCTCCTGACCTTAAATTCACTCCCATACCTGACTTTTCTCATCTCCAAAGTAAGTGTAACCTCAAATAGCTCCCAACCCCTAAGAATCCCAGCCTGCACCCTGGTAGACCCGCCCTGTGTACTCCCTGCTTCAGGATGAAGCCAAGAGCCGGGGAAGGGCTGGGACCTGCTCTGGGGGCTGGTTGGGGGGCCCTAGTGGTCACTCCAAGGGAAGCCCTGCGGAGAATCCTCAAGGTAGGGGAGAAGGCTGGCCCCTCTCCTGCCCCTGTCAGTCGCCAGTCACCAGCAGCATGGTTCAGCGGCCTCTCTCCGGGCAGCTCTGGCCCATGGAGGCAGGGAGCCCCCTCCCCTCTGTCAGTCTCTCCTTATCACCCCTGCTCAGGCCCAGGGTGCACTACATTTGCTGTGTCCCGTCCATGGGAGTTGTCAGTGTGGTGTGTAGATGTTTGCATGTCAGTCAAGAGCTAATGTATGTGTGTCTGCGTGTTGTGCACTTACGTGTGAGTATAATTCCATGTGTATGAAAAGTACATATGCTCACATATATATTTATGAGTACATGTCTATATATATGTATATGTAGTTGAGTGTGTAGAATTACATTTACGTTATTTATGCATATGTGTAATTGAATGTGTATAATGATAGGTACACGTAGCTGGTTGTGTCTGTTGTTTTATATATGTGAGTGTTTATGGACAGATAATAATAACTTATTACTTATTGTATATCAGGCACTAGTCTTAGTACCAAATGTAGATTTATTCATTTAATCATCACCACAAATTTGTGAGGGAGGTATGATTATTTCCCCATTTTACAATGAGAAAACTCAAGCAAAGGCAAGTTAAAGAGCTTTCCAAGGTCACACAGAGATGAAGTGATGGAACAGGCAGACCCAGTCAGGCTACAGAGTCTGAGCTATGTCCTTTCACCACACCGCTGTCATACGTGTTAAATCGTACTTGTATAGGTTATGTCCGTGCAGCTGTGTGTCACGTGGCAGTGCATGCCTGTCTGTCCCTGAGTGTTCCTGAGTGTATACATAGTGTGTGTTATGGCTGCCTGTGTACACATAGCCAGCCGTGTGTGTGTGTGTGTGTGTGTGTGTGTGTGTGTGTGTGTTTCCCCTCACTGTCTTTTCACCCTTCTGCCAAGTCCTGCTCCCCGCTGGAACCCCAGTATCAACCAGCAGATCCTGGGCCCTTAGTGCAGTGAAGGAATGGATCCCAGCCCCATCCTGTCTCTGGTGTATCCCCAACCTTTAGCCAGGCAGCCCACTCAGCCTCCTTTGCCAGGCTGCGACCTTCAGCTCTCTCCGTGTGGGGGTGAGGGCGATATTAAAGGGATCAGCCTAGGAGAGGTGAGCACTAGGGTGAGCAGGGATGCACCTATTTCCATTCTCTCTTGGGGCCACTGGCAGGGAGGAGCGAGGCAGGGTAGTGGTGGGAGCCACCTGATGAAGGGACGGGAGAAGAGGGGCCTGCATCTGCCTGTGGTGCCCAGGCTCTGTACCCTGTGCAGCATGCAGCGCCTCCCTCCCCAAGGTCAATTCTAAGTGATACTCATTGCTGCACCACAGCCTTCCTCTGATGGGGCGTGGTGTGTGTGTGTGTGTGTGTGTGTGTGTGTCCTCCCACCGATGCGGGGCATGAAAATGCATTATCTGGACCTTGGGGGTCGGGGGATACTGTACCCACTGTGTACACTGAACATCCACTTCATGTGTGTTGCATTTATTTTCAATGCTGAGTGTCCTAATATATGGTATGCCTGTGCTTGTGTATTTCATGGCTATTGTCTAAATGCAACCTGTATGCACCTTCTGTCTACCCTTCATTTATGGTGTATGTGCCCTACATGTGGGTTATTGTTTATGTAAATCATGGGTGCTACCTTCCTGTCAATGTATATTGTGTATTGCACATGTCTTGGGCACTACATGAATGTTGTATGCACTTGGTCTTGTTCCATTCATTGCAAAATGTTTGCTACTTGCAAATTGCATGCATATGTGTTGCGTGTGCATGCTCTGTGCTGCATGTGACATCCATGCCCATGCACCATGTATGTTGTGTCTGCGTGTGTGGGGTGTATGTGTTCGTGTTCTGGCTTCAGACAGCTCCGCACAGGCCTCCCGTGTGCAAGTGGCCATCCAGACCTTGGATGAGAATGACAATGCTCCCCAGCTGGCTGAGCCCTACGACACCTTCGTGTGTGATTCTGCAGCCCCTGGCCAGGTGAGCTGCTGAGACAGAGGGGTTGGGACCGCAAGACCTCTGGCTGCCCACTCCATACAGGCCTGTTTTCTTCCTCCCAGCTGATTCAGGTCATCCGGGCTTTGGACAGAGACGAAGCTGGCAACAGTAGCCGTGTCTCCCTTCAAGGTCCTTTGGGCCCTGATGCCAACTTCACTGTCCGGGACAACCGAGGTGGGTGGCCTGTCCGTGCTTGCCTCCCTGCTCCTCTCTATCTCCAGCCTCCCTGACCCCTGCCTGCCTATCTGGTCTCTCCTCCTAACAGAAAGGAGGTGTAGATTTGCTCTGTTTGCTGACTGTAAACCTTCCCCATGGGAAGCTGTCTCCATGGGCCAGCCTGACCCTACTCGGAAGGTATCCCAGGAGATGTCCTAACACCTCCTCTCTCCCACAGATGGCTCTGCCAGCCTGCTGCTGCCCTCTCGTCCTGCTCCGCCCCGCCAGGCCCCGTACCTAGTTCCCATAGAACTGTGGGACTGGGGGACCCCAGCACTGAGCAGCACTGCTACAGTGACCGTCAGCATGTGCCGCTGCCGGCCTGACGGCTCCGTGGCATCCTGCCGGCCCGAGGCTCAGCTCTCACCCGCTGGGCTCAGCACCGGGGCCCTGCTCGCCATCGTCACCTGTGTGGGCACCCTGCTTGGTGAGTCGGGCCACAGTGGGACATAGATGTGGGGTCCAGGTCCTTGGGGATGTGGAGAGGCATCAGGACCCTGGACTTAGGGAAATCCACCCTCGGGCTTACAGGGACCCTCGTGCCTGGGTTGTCACACTGCCTGATGCATCCAAGAGAAAAGCTCTGGCCTCACATGCCTGACCTGCTGGTCTGCAATGGCAGTGACAAGCCGTAAAAACTGTTTATTGAGCCCCAACTCTGGGCCACAGGTGGCACTGGGCACATCACTTAATGGTATTGCATTTCATCCTTTTGACAACCCTTCGAGGTAAATGCTTTCCCTGTTTTCCATACGAGCAATCGATCTAAGGGTCAAAGAGGTTTGGACAAGTTAGGCAACTTCCCATGCTCACACAACAGGTAAGGGCTGAAGTCTGGACTCACACAAAGTTCACTAGACGTCAGACCTAGGGCTTGCCACCCCCAGGCCACACTGTCACCCACCCCCTGCCGCCCGCGCTGGCTCAGTGCCCCATCCTCTCCCACAGCCCTGGTGGTGCTCTTCGCGGCCCTGCGGCGCCAAAAGCAGGAAGCACTGATGGTGCTGGAGGAGGAGGACGTCAGGGAAAACATCATCACCTACGACGATGAGGGCGGCGGGGAAGAGGACACGGAGGCCTTCGACATCAGCGCCCTGCAGAACCCC